AATTAATCGAGATAGAAATCGATACTCATGAAGTTCTACTGTCAAAGTAATCAACAAATATATCGCATCTTCTGCAACTACCAAAAAATGTCAAGGTCTTTGATCGTTGACTATGGTCAACCAACTTGCTTGCAATTGAAACTATGCACAGTAACAGTGATGACGGTCACTTGATGAGTGCTACAGAATACGTGATCTTTAGCGATTAATAGGACTAATTGAGGGCTATTTTATTAGCAAACAGGGCAGTGAACGGAACGTTCGATTGAGTTACGAGTGACGTATAGATTGGTGATGTGCAATTGCAGCTGGAATAAAATGATTATTAGGAAGTACCTCGATTTTATGAATAACGATATGTTCGATGGTGAGTGCGACAGGTACCTCGATCAGTGCCATCACCACATATTGCGATGGTGAAAGCTTACCTAAGGTGGCACCCATTGTGATCAAAATCGTTGCTGCCGCGAAATCACCACCAATTATCCTTAAATACTTGGTCATATCAGATCAGCAGCTTTCGTATCACTCGAACTTCCAACACAAAACGAACAATTGTTTTCTACACGGCAATGGTTATCTCTTCAGAATAGTTGGAAAACGATTTTGATTCAGTCACAGCTCAGGCCGTTTCAGATAAAGGGTACGTTTCAGAGGTGGAAGATAAGCGAAATTCCAAGATGACATTTGAACATCGTTATGCGATGCTGTTATGATTTGGGGTTGTCACATAAAATTTGATGTATTATTTATTTCGCTACTAACTCAGTAATCGAAATCGTGAATTGTCCGGTTGCAGCAAACTCTTCAGACCAGAATCCATTTATGAGTATACTCCACTGAATGACGACACATGCGAGAAGCAGGTTAATTGAGACAGCAGAGAATCCATAACGTCTTAGGAATACCATTAAGAAGCCAAAACCGATGAAGATCATTACGTGTATATCTTGGAACACTGAAATATTGTATTGTTGGACGGGAGAAGAATTTTTGAAACTTTAGAACCGCAATCAAATCGATCCTTGATTTATTTGATCCGTTCACGATCAGTTCAAATAAATGGACCAATTCAGAAGGATTTTGCAGGTGCATGCAAATGCTTAATGCAAATGCTTTGCATTGTTGGCGAGACATACTCCCTTACTTCGCTCATGAGCGATTTTGTTTTAATGCATTGATCTGCAAGGCTGTGTTTCCATCTAGCTTTGAGATTTTGATTTTTCTAATGATTCAGATACCCTCAAAAATACTGTTTGCAAGTATAACATTGCGACTGGTGCGTTGAGGTTACAAGTAAAATATTGATGGCGTAAGCAACGAAGAGTTATCTGATACCGCAAAGATTTTTGATTCTGAACCAGTAACAGTTAATTGGTTTCCAGCGTTGGAATTTCATAACTGACACATCAAGTGCTTCGTTGATCTATGTTCACACTCATATGATCACTTACTCGGATAGTTCGAATTAACGAAGTTCGT